GTGGGGCTGAGGGTGTGGGTGTGGATGTGAAACCTTCTGTGAGAGAGGTAAACATTCAGATTCAGACTCGCCCACACCAGTCCCCAATTCTTCTCCCTGAATATTCGCCAATTGACGAAAGTCTACTGAACTTTAGCCAATACACCTCTGGGTTTTCGCCAATAATTGGCGAAGTTTCGGAATCTCTTATGGTCCCTAGGAAATTCATTGAAATAACTGTTAGTCTTTGGCTAACACCAAAACATAACGCATTTTCGGTTATATATCGGTCTGTTATGTTTGAAGTGTTCCTTTGTGCTCGTTAGACAGAGAAGCGAAGCGATATTTAGGATAATGATATCTTTATCCTTCGTAGTTTTTATCTGAGAAAAGAATGTCACAATACAATCATCTGATGCTTCATTATTGTCTTTCGCTGCATACGGCAGAGCAAGTTAACCAATTATTACCATACATTAGAATTCTCATTGAAAAATGATAACAGAGGGCTTAAATACGCTGAAAATATGAAATGTATTTGAAAAAACAGCTAGAAGATAATCTGTATAACTCATTGTATGTAATTGTTATCTGTTAACCATATGCATGTACTCAGAGATACACCGAGAAATGAATAGATGCTAGGCAACTTTTCTCTCATGCTATTATCAAAATCAATCAAGCGACTTAGGTGAAATAAGTTGGATCGTAAAACGACCGTTTCCGTTGATTTTTTCGCCGTTTACGATGCACCATATTATGGCATATTGAGAAACAATCGGATACTGAATCTTCCGATCGTATGACAACCGTGACTAGATGTTTACGGTACATCGACATACGGTCATAATATGACGCATGTTAAAATGTCAACTTATGACAATTTACGACCTTAAACGGCGTGAAAGATAGTATAGCATATCGTATACAGCAGTTTACGCCCAGATCGGACCGTCGTAAAGCCCGTCCTGGAGCAACTGGGATAGAATTTCAAATGAAGCAAAGAAGAAGATAAGCTGTACTCTAAAACTAAGTAAGATCAAAAAAAGCATAATATTCCTACAATGAAAGTCTTACTTCGCTCAGCTCAGTTGACTGCTTCAAGATGGAACAGGCAAACTGTGACAACTTGATGCTGCGTTTTAGACCTTTTATACAACATTGATCTCTGCTAGTGGGTATTTTTTCATCCTACACAAATATTTTTCTATTCATAAAAGAGAAATGTAGACTAACGACACGAGCAATTCACTACTTCCGATGGTGCATGTAAACAAATCTTGAAGGCCAACAGTGTGGTGCGCAAAACGAAAAACGACTGATTGCATCATTTTATTTTAATTGCGAATGTTTTTCGGAGAAAAGATGTCCATGAAGAGGGTGTGGGTATGGGTGGATGTAGATGTGCATGTGCATGTTAGTGTGAGTGTGGATGTGGATGTGAAATCTTCTGCGGAAGAATTAAACATCCAAACCCACCCACACCCCACATCCGCACGCCCACAAGAAAGAAGTGATGCACCAATTACTGTGCACCTACACACAAGAAGTTTCGCCGAAACAGCAACAACATCTATGCTTTACTGTCTCAGAATATGGCGTTATATAAAAATTCTCCGAAAAACAAACACATTTCCTTCTTCTGTAGATGCATCACGTGCTGTGTGCATACACACAAGAAGTTTCGCAGTAACAGTAATTACGCTTTCCTGTCTCAAAACATGACGTCAGACAAAAATTCTTCGAAAAAAAAATTTATTTCTTCTGTTGATGTGTCAATCACTGTGTAACTACACTCAAGAAGTTTCGCAGCAACAGCAACTATGCTTTACTGTCTCAAAACAGGGCATCAGACAAAAAAATCTGCGGAAACTAAACTGTCGCGAGCTTTTCTATAAATAGAGTAACTTTCCCTAATAACAACACCAAAAGAGTAACTTGTCTTGTTTGATCCATTTCATAACTATTTTTGACTCGACTGAAAATATTTTTATATATGCATAATCTTCAGAGTCTCCTCCTTCAAATGGTGTAACAATGGTCTTTCTCTGAAATGTAATGGCGGAGAAATCAGCGGTCTACGATAATAAACTGCTACTGTTGTTATTACAGATTTGGAATCGAATTTTCATGATTATTTGATATTTAAGTAAACGTTAACTATTCAATTCATGAAATTTACGAAATGTTTTTGTAGTGAGAAAGCAATTTATTTAAAACAAAAAAAGAAATAGTACTAAAATTGAATTTTGTTATTTGTTTGATTCTTTAATGTTGATTGAATATTGTGCTTTACCCGAGAGTCCTTGTATTTTAATCCATGCTTTATAATATTCATGTTCTAATGTTGTTGTGAAAGGAATTTTAATGTCTGTATAGTAATAATTAACAAGTTTCTTTGATTTTAATTGTACAATTTCATTTGTTAAGTAATTCATAATTTTTGATTTGCTGTTCATATCTATTTTTTCATTTAAAGCAAATTCTGTTAAAATTTTTAATATTTCATAAACTTTTATGGCACTTTCACTTTTCAAATATACCATTAAATCATCAATCAATTCATCAGATGATAAACGAATGAGAGGAACTCCAATCACGGAATATTCTTTCACAAGATTTTCATCAAATAATGTGTTCATAGCATTGATAATTACTTTATGATCAAACTGTTCCATAGCTGAAAGTAATATAAAAGCATTACCTCTTGCTGGAAAATAGGGATGATAATTAAGCATTTTCTCCAACAGTTGAATCATTTGAACTTTATTAAAATTTGGAGAATTTGTTATTTTTCGATACAAATAATCTTCCTTTTGAACACAAGCAGAAACCAAAGATAATAAAGTTTCACATAGAATCAATTCAAATATAGTATCATCAAAACCATTAAAACTTATCATTTTGAGTATTAACCATTGAATTAAATTCTTCATTAGAACAATATTTATCGAAAAATTACTTAATAAATTTAATATTGTTTTGTTTACATCATTTGAAACAGTAAAATTACAACGACCTATATGTTGGATTTGATCGTAGTTCTGTCGTGAAAGATCTTCAACTTTAATGGTTGTTTGAATGATTAAGATTGATTCAAGATTTTCAAAATATGTTTCATCAGTAATAGTTGTTGAAGCAGAAACTTCATCAAGAATTACTTGTATTAGTTCTATATCTGTATGTGAAAAGTATACATGCTCTTGAAATTGACATGTGTCAGACACTGCTAATAATCTTGCAAATTTAATCCAATCATCTTCTATAATCTGAGAACGTCTTGCTAAATGCATCGTAGAATGAAGTAATTTTTCTATATACAATGGATATAAAGATGATTCTAAAGTTTGCATTATTGAATTCCAAGTATGATTATTAATAAAATAAATTCTATCGAGAAATTGAATTCTTCTTTCACTAACAGAGTTTCTCTCTTGTAATTGATTCATATTTTGACTTAAGTTATGAAAAACTACAGGATCATCCCATAGTAAGTCGTAGAAAAATGTAAAAAAATAAGCACGAACTCTTGGAAGATGCTCTTTCACTAGAGCATGTTCGAGAATTTTCATCATTGTTTTTTCTCCTAATACAGATAGTCTCTTGCTGGGTTCTTTAACATCTCTTTCTGGATGTTGAAAAATTCGTTGAGCTCGATATCTCATTTGATCATTATCACTTTTGAGCAAATCAATAATTGTATCGATAACTGATTCAAAAACATGCCTGGTTTCTGCAAGTAAAAGAGCTGCTAGATTTTTAATTTGATTATTATTATTATTGTTTTGAGTAAACCATCGCTGAACAACAGGTAATACTTCATTTGAAGGTTTTATAATATAGGGAAAAAGCATAGATATATGATCCTCTTTTCCTTTTTCTATTAATTCATCTATAATAATGGCTACTTGTGGTGTCAAAAATATTCCATCATGTAAACCAATAGTTAATATTTTTTCTATATTGGACTGATTATCAGTATCTTTAAAAAGATGAATCCATAATTGATCAGTGCTCTCTGTTTTATCCATAATTAATTTTGTATCATTCAATTGTGCAACCAATACAAATAAAGATTGAAGTTCTGTATAGTTTGAAAGATCGATAATTTCTTTGTTATCATTCTCATTTTCTAAATTTACGTTTGACTTAGAAACTTGTAATGTTTCAGTAAATAATATTCTTCCATAATAAGAATTGACAAAATAATTATACATTTTATTCTTGAGTGTTTCTATCATTCCATTTATTTTGATTAGAAGATCATCGTAGATAATAATTAATGATTTCAATTTAATAATTAATTTGATTTTGTCATTATCTTCATTCATTCGATCAAGTGTTTCTATAGCAATAGTTAAATATTTTTTTCGAAATTCTCTTGATCCATAAAATGATAATCTTATTGATGCAATAATTCGATTATGAAGATCATCAATATTTTCAAATGTTAAAATTAACTCGTCGACAATTTTTTGAATGAATAGTTTGCGATCTACTTCTTTATAATGAGTAATGCTAAAAATTTTTTCTAATACTTGAAATTTTAACGTTGGCTCTTGAATATTTTTTGTTAATATAAATGATTCATTTAGCAATTCATAACTTTTTTCATCATAAAATTCAGCTAATTGATATAATGCTCTTGATTTATAATATGGATTACACATGGATTGAATTCTTTCAAATAAAAATTCTTTTACATCATACTGTTCAGCTAATTCAGGTAGTAAATTTTTGTAAATCCTTAACCTATCACTGTCTTTTGAAATAATTCCAAAATGTAACAATACAACCAATGGAATCAATTCTGAATTTTTCTTGAAATATTCTTTTTTACGAAAAGTTTCAGAAACGGTATCCACTAAGTATGCTATATTTGTATTGATATTCTCTAAACAGTTGAACAATGCTATTGGTATATCAACATCAGCATCATCATCATTGTTTAATTTAAAAGTAAATATGTCTGTGACCCATGGATACCCTCGAACTGGCCTATAAATCTGAATTGTATCACTGATTTTTAAAAATGATTTTATAATCTGATCAGGTTCACTTGACGAAATGCACTGGTCACATAATACAGCGACTTGATATTGGAAATTATTAGCCATACCAGCGATCTGAAAGGCAAAATATTCTGCATATAAACTATATTTATCTTCAATATTATCTACAGCTTCTGCTAATATCCTAGTGTCTATTGGCAAAGCTCCGCTATTGGCTAGTATGGATAAATATATTCTGCAATAATGTAAAAAGTTAATGTCATACAGTGACTGATTCGCTTTCATACCATTATAAATTTCAAGTAAATATTTGGAAATATGAGAAGACCATCTTGCAATTGGATCTTTCAAAATATCAATAAGTTGTTCGATTCTGTTTCTGAAGTTTTTTATGAATGTTTCTTCTTCTTCTGCTATAAGAACATTTATGAAGTCGAAGTCACCCAAAGCGATTAATGCGATGGATATTTCTACTTTTTCACTTTTACTTAATTTTTGACTGTTGATTTGTTTATGCAAGTCTTCTATTAATTCTATCGTAGATTTTCCTTCATGAAGCAGTTCGAGGATTTTATTTGTCAAAAATGACTCCTTGTAGATGTCATTTTTATCAAATATTGGCTTTTCAGTCCAGCGTTCTTTCTTTATTTTTGTATCAAGATATACAGCCATGCTATAAGCTGCATCATCCCTATCCCAAATTTCTTGATAGTAAAAAGTAAATGGTGCTCTTTCCATAGAGCTTAAATCTAGAAATTGAGCTATTTCATAATATTCAGAAATACTTGATGGAGTCTTATAATTCTTATAACCTCCATAAAGAGCTATAATTAAAGGTAGCCAAGCATTGCTGTTTACAATAAATTTGATCATTTCTGGATTTTTATTTATTGTATTTTTGAATTTTAATTGAGTTAAAACTACTTCATCTTTAATTTCATTTGAATAGAATCGTAGGATCGAATCGATTGGCCAATTCCAAATTATAGAATCATTATGTAAATTCTTTAGAAATATTTCATGAAATTTTGGATTATACCATTTCAATTGATAAATAATATTAGTACATGGAGCAACATCATCTTCATGATTAAGCTTTTCAATAAACCATTCTGCCATTATATTATCATATTTTCTTTTCAATTTCAAGAAATAGGATTGTATCAATTCTTGATGTTCTTTTAAGCGTGAAAAACCAGACACATTTTCATAATCAAACAACAACATATCTGCTAATTTCCGAATCAATTCATGTTCTGTATCTTTAGATGAAAAATGCATGTCATTTAATGAATCAATAATAACAAATGGTACTAGAAGTATAGAAGATTGCATATTCGATGAAGTTTTCTCATCTTTTAATAATCTTTTAATAATATTGTTAAATAATAGACTATATTCAATTGATTTACTCAAAATTCCAAATGTCATACTAAGAGGAACTCTCCAATTGGGAATACCAATTTTACTATGAATATTGTGATAAATCATATCTTCAGATTGTTCGATTCCATTATGAATGATAATACTTTTAGCTGCAAGATATTCTTGAAACGTACGATGTATAAATCGAAAACTATTATGACCAAATTCATTGAGTATACCTGCTTGATATTTAAAAATATCTACAAGGTTTGAGATTAATTTGTCAATCTTTGTTTCTAGACTTTTCGATGATTGTTTTTGATAATCTAATAAACATTTTCTTATTATCTCTTTTAACATCTTTTCTGATAATCCTTCAACTTTACTATGAAGATATTCAGCTATTTCTTGTAATATTGACCAAATCATAGTGGCATTGAGTCCAAACTCTTTGCCTAGGTAATTTGTTGAAGAATCGATATAAAGCGTTATTAATCGTTCTATCATTTTTTCGATGGCTTTTTCATATAAATCAATTCTTTTCTCTGGTAATTGACCTTCGCATTGATTATAAACTGCAGCAATTACACTGGCTAATTGTGGATTAATTGCCAAATGAAAAATATCTTTGTTTTCCGTTATATCATTATATAATTGATCGGTATCATTTTGTTTCATAATTCTTCCAGCTTTAATTGAAATTTCGTTAATACATTTCATATATGAACTACAAAATAATTTGAGAGCATCATTAGACATATCTTCAATAGTTAATCTTGGAATAAAAAAATTGATATCTTCAAAATAATTTCCTTCAATACGACTTGTTATGATAAATCGATTTCCAATTGTAGGATCTCTAGTATTATGTATTTCTTTTTGTTCATAAATTGAATAAATAAGTTTATTATGTATTACATCATAATCTATTCCTCGTTCTAATAATGTGTTTATTTCCTTTATTAAATCAGATCGATCTACATGAATAGGAACTTCATCTAAGCCTTCGAATATAACTAAAACGTTTCCTTCTACTAATGATTCTTTCATTAAAAATGATAATTCTATTCGTTCTTCATTATTGAAAAATGTTGAGTCAAAAGTAGGATTTTCATAAATAAACTGAAGCAAAGTAGATTTGTTTTCATTATGATTTTCTTTTATTTGATCAACATATTTCCATATTGGAATAAGAATTGGTATTTTCTCTTTCCTAGAATAAATATGATCAAATAACATATTCTTTTTACCTAAACATTGCTTAGCCATATTGATGACCAACCATTTCGACAATGTAGTTTTACCTGAACCAGGATGACCTAAGACTATGAAATGTTTCAAATCATTGTATGCTTGTTGAATTTGATATTGCCTTGCTTCTTTAAAATTATTTTGTTCCAGAATATTTTGTTTTAATCGATTTACTTTTGTTTTGATAGCATTCGCCTCATTATCAGTAAATATATTTTTGTTGCTTAACAAGACATTTAACCATTGATCAATCATGAAGTCTCTACAGTACATTTCAGAATTGAAAGCATTTTTTTCTATGATAGCTCTGTTCAATTGTTGCCTTTCATGCTCATTAAAAAAGCCAGGAGAGAAAAGTTTACGTTTAAACTCTTCAGTGATTTCGAGCATTTTCATTGCTCTAATTGATGGATGTGTTGGATCAAATTTTAATTCTACATAGACACTTTCCAAAGGTAAACTCATGTTAGTATTAGAATATCCAATAATTGATACATGTGCATATTCGTTGATAAGATAATTCAAATATTTTTTACGAACAAATTCTTTTTTCTCTGTTAATAATAAATTTTCACGTATTAATGGTGTAAACGATTTGAGATTTTTTAGAAATTCTAATAAATCTTCCGCATTATTGCCATATGGAACTTCCTTAATATTCTCCAAAAAGGAAGTATCTGATATTTGATGAAACATATTATATTTATTGGATTTAACAAGTTTATACATGGATGATGGTTTGTCATCTATTACAAAAGATATCCATTTTAATAAACTGTAAAAATTTAGATCAAATATCCCGACATCATATCCAATGAATAACAAAGTTTTTGTTTCCATAATTTCTCTTAATTTTGATTGTCTAGATTCATTTTCAAAAAGTCGATAATAATCATGGCTACTGAAAATTATACTATCTATATCTTCAAAATGTCCATATACATGTAGAATATAATCTTTGAGATTCTCTAAGGAATCATCAATACCATTAGAATAATATTCATTCCAACGTAATGACTTTTTGCCAAGTACATCTTCAAGCAATGAGTCATAGTTAGTTGTTAAAATCAAGCATCCTAATTCTCCTATAGATTTAACAAGGTCCAGTCTTTTAGCTGATAAATTTCCTACTGTTTCTCTTAACCATGTTTTGTAAAGATCATTATTTATTTTATCATTTTCCATTTGGAAATAAGTCTTAATTTGATCGGCAGCAAGTAAATAGTCGTCAACTTCTGCTGTACTACTGTTGAACTTAGTATCGAAATCCTCAAATTCTTCATCACTCATCCATCCTGAATGGTAACATTGTTGTAATCCATGTTTTAATAATCCTTTCCAATCAGATACTTTTTGTTCATCGTTTGCTGTATAAATAGATACACCACTCCCAATAAATATCACTACATTATTTAAAGCTATATCATTTTTAAGTTTTTGAATTGGATCAGCCATTCGTTCAGTTTATCGTTTGAGATTTACGTATAACTAAAGATCAGTACAACAATAAGAAATATTACAGACAGGCAAAGTGATATGAATGAAGAATGATAGACCTAGTCTGAAATGTTGATATTGTGCGTCAAAAATGTCCAAAGACAAAGTCGAATATTGAAAATAATCGATTATAATAGCATACGAGAGAAGGTTATCAACATATCCCTAACTTTCTCGTCTACCCTAGCCTTCAAATCTGTTTCGGGAAGATGGTGTGGGCGTGCGTGTGAGCCTGAATGTCGTCTTCTATTCACCCACACATCCACGCCCACACCGTAAAGGAGTTTAACAACTGTTTGGATTTCGACGTGATCACATAAGACGAAATCGGATATGTCTATATGTATGTTTCTGTATGAGCAAGTTGGAAAATTCCAATTTGTGTCATAAAGTAGTGCGCTGCAAAATTCCATGTACTACTAAGATAAGATGGTGGAAAGAAATTTAAGATGTGAGGGATGGATATTCTTCATACTTTTGAATTTTTTTAGACTTATGAACTTGAGTGAAAAGATATTAAAAAGTAACAAAAGTTTACAAAATGAAAAAAAAACCACGTTTTCTGCTATTTCGAACACTCACCTGTATGTATTTACAGCACGCAAGAGTACAACTTTCTTCAAAAGAAAAAACAAAAGTGACTTGCTTTCTTTTTGGTAGGAAGAGAAATTTTTTTTTCTTCCTCTCCCAGTATTTTTTGGCGAACCAAGCAGCTCCTTCCCCGTGGCAAGAGTTGTTGTCGATTCGCCCACACCTTTTTTTTTTTACTTTCCAACCAATATTCATAGAGAAGCTTGCGTCAGCCGGCTTTCGAGGAAAACGGGTGTGGGTGTGGGTGTGAGTGTGGATGTGGGAGTAGGATGTAGGTGTAGGGTGTGATATTGTTTTCCAAACCCACACCCCACACCCACACTCATCACATGTTGTCTGTCTCTTTCTTATTCTAGAACACAATACTTTTCGCAAAATAGGATCAGTACGTTAGAAACAGTAGGAGTGATATTGAGTTTCCATTTATTAAATCATTAGACAGCTCCTTCTCTGACTCACGAGCAATGCAACTTAAAATATCACCTGTGCACTAAGAATAAATATCACGGATACCACCCTGATACTGTCTCATTTCAATGCAAGTTATGATTAGGGCTATGATTTGTTATTTCGTTTTCGTTCTTCTCTGGTAAATAACATTGAATTTCTCATTTCATTCTTCTAACATTCAACTATCTTTCATTTTAGCGTCACAGGTTTGATTCTCACTCTTCTTTTCTACATGTCTAGCTATTATTTTATTTTGTCGATAGTCCAAGTGAAGTCTCAAATATGCCATGGAGTGTCTCAATATGATGGATGTTCGACGAATAGTGCGTGTGGCTGTTTCCATATGATAGGTGCCAATGACGTTGGCATTTGTGGCTTTCTCTGGATGACTTGCTCTCAGTTAGTTCCGTGTGACCGTCCTAACAACGTTTGTCATGAGCATAATCATATCTGTGTTCGTCATCCTCGATGTCATAATCTTCCCGTTTGTTATCCGGTGTCGATGATTGATCAAAGAATCTGTCCACCGATAACAGGTAAGAGTATATGCTGAGATCTACAGTTTCATGGCAAATTTGAATCTTTCTGAAACATTATTTTACGTCAACGAGAACAAATGCATTTATTATTCGAAACAAAATTCTCTTATAACATTCAAAGTCCTGAGAAAATCTAGAATTGCTTAGGAATACCCAAAAGTAGTGGCGAAGGTACCTTATTTTCTTATCGAAGGCTTGAGGAAATTTTCTTTTTTTACGAGATGATAGAGAAAACGAAGCTCTATTTGTCTGTGCTATTTCATTTCTATTCAACTAGTATCATAATAATAAAATTTCGACAAGAACCAGTTTTGTGTAAATTATAACTATAATATTGGATCATATTTTCATCCATGTGCATTTTTGTTTTTGATTGTTTCTTTGTTCTTCTCTTCTCTTTCCTTTCTTACTTCTTTTCTCGTCTCTTTTAATGCCTAGTATTTCATACATAGATATATATAAATATATATTAAGACACCCGTCCAGTTTGTTTCTTGAATGTGTGAAATTTAATCGTGTATTGATGAAATAAAAAGTTGTTGAGCTTGTTTGATATTTTTTTTGTTCTACTATTGCTTGTGATAAACTATGTGTACCATATTTATAAAGGATTAGCTATTAGAAGAGACGAGAAAAGAAACAAAGAAAGAACAAAGAAACAACCAAAAACAAAAATGCACATGGATGAAAATATGATCCAATATTATAGTTATATTTTACACAAAACTAGTTCTTGTCGAGATTTTATTATTATGGTACTAGTAGAGTAGGAATGAAATAGCACAGACAAATAAAGCTTCGTTTTCTCTATCATCCCATAAAAAAAAGAAAATTTCCTCAAGCTTTCTATACGAAAATAAGGTACTTCCACCACTACCTTTGGGTACCCCTAAGTAAAACACGACCTGTATCCACAGAACAGTTTTCTATATAATTATTTGCTTTTGTACTAAAACGGAGCATCATTTTAGCGCACAGGAAACAAAATTTTTCGAGACGGACTATTGTTTACATAAAATCTAGCATCATTTGATGTCTTTCATTCTCTACTAATTCCTGAGTCGATATCTTTCCAGACGCACCCATTCTCACTCCTCACCCTAGCCATCACTCTTTCAAAAAGTGTAGAGAACTCATTGAAAATTTCAATTCACTAAGTTCTATATTTCATTGTATGACAGTGAAAAACATATCTGCTTTGTTTATATAATTGTTTTCTCTTTTATGCATAGCGACAAGCACGACAACCATCGGTACTACTGTAATAAACAGCACGGCGAGTATCATCACGTCAAGTAAATATTTCAGTCACTCTCTCAAACAATCATAGTTCACCAAAACAGTACAATTCTATTGAAGTGAAAAAAAATATGAAAGTCAGAAGCAGTCCATTCCTATCCTAATCATTTTTGATTGTTTGGAAAAAACAAAACATTTGGTGATACATTGACGATGCGACCACCATTTGTAAGACTCCTTTTTTGTTTGTTCGTTCATTTCTTATTTTTTTTACGAGAAAATTTGTCCACAGAGCAATGCTCGAAACGGGAAATCCTACTCGCGGATCCGATGAGGTTTTCAACGCAGTCTGATGATTTTTGACAGGATTAAAATGAGAAGTTATCAGATTTTGAATGCAATAGAACCAAGCCCTCAGATTTGGCATACAAACATAATTCTATGGTAAAGTCGCAGGCCATTTCAAATAGTGTTTAGTTTTCGAATGATGTCAGCAATAATGGGTGAAGCATCAGGGTTATTTTTCTTGCTAATAATTCTTTTCGGTTTTTTCTTCTTCTTGTGTGTCATTAATCATATAACTTGCTTTCTTCACTCATCAACACGGTTGATGAGATTCGTTGACACGAATGTGTTCTATCCGAATGTACGTAAACGGACAGTGCTGCTTTTCCGCTTTTCCATATCTCAAATACGACTCATAAACTAAAGTGGACGATTTGAAACAAACATAATTCTATATAAGAAATCATCCACAATCAACGATCAATCGAAAGTGAATTAGTTGGATTAAGATTTCTAATGGATTGTGGTCGAAATAATCCAATTATTTTTACGCAAATCAGTTTTAATCTAATTTTCGTTAGTTTTTTTTAATCTAAAATTCTAGTGACCATAAAAATTGAGACGGCATGCAATTTTAATAGATTATTTTTTGATTAAGGAACAATTACAAGGGGACGGCCCAAGTTTAATTAAAGTTGGGTTTTAATCCACTACTGAGGACTTAATCAATTTGTGAAAAATCGTGATAAAACTGAAAACGTGTTTTTCTCAAGATATAAGATAGAAACGTCCTGCTTTTTACCACTTTTCGAGATTCTTCGTCAACTGAACTGATCTTT